GCTAGTATCTTGTTGAGAATTTTTGCATCCATGTTCATCAGGGATATTGGTCTGTAATTCTCCTTTTTGGTGGGGTCTTTGTCTGGTTTTGGAATTAAGGTGATGCTGGCCTCATAGAATGAGTTTGGAAGTACTCCATCTCTTTCTATCTTTCCAAACAGCTTTAGTAGAATAGGTATGATTTCTTCTTTAAACGTTTGATAGAATTCCCCTGGGAAGCCATCTGGCCCTGGACTCTTGTGTCTTGGGAGGTTTTTGATGACTGCTTCAATTTCCTCCCTGGTTATTGGCCTGTTCAGGTTTTCTATTTCTTCCTGCTCCAGTTTTGGTAGTTTGTGGCTTTCCAGGAATGCGTCCATTTCTTCTAGGTTGCCTAATTTATTGGCGTAGAGCTGTTCATAATATGTTTTTAAAATCGTTTGTATTTCCTTGGTGTTGGTAGTGATCTCTCCTTTCTCATTCATGATTTTATTAATTTGAGTCTTCTCTCTCTTCTTTTTAATAAGGTTGGCTAATGGTTTATCTATCTTATTAATTCTTTCAAAGAACCAACTCCTGGTTCTATTGATCTGTTCCACAGTTCTTCTGGTCTCAATTTCGTTGAGTTCTGCTCGAATTTTAATTAACTCTCTTCTTCTGCTGGGCGTCGGTTCGATTTGCTGCTTCTTCTCTAGCTCCTTTATGTGTAAGGTTAGCTTTTGTATTTGAGTTCTTTCCAGTTTTTGAATGGATGCTTGTATTGCGATGTATTTCCCCCTCAGGACTGCTTTTGCTGCATCCCAAAGATTTTGAACAGTTGTATCTTCATTCTCATTAGTTTCCATGAATCTTTTTAATTCTTCCTTAATTTCCTGGTTGACCCTTTTATCTTTTAGCAGGATGGTCCTTAACCTCCACGTGTTTGAGGTCCTTCCAAACTTCTTCTTGTGATTGAGTTCTAATTTCAAGGCGTTATGGTCTGAGAATATGCAGGGGACGATCCCAATCTTTTGGTATCGGTTCAGACCCAATTTGTGACCCAGTATGTGGTCTATTCTGGAAAAAGTTCCATGTGCACTTGAGAAGAATGTGTATTCAGTTGAGTTTGGATGTAAAGTTCTGTAGATATCTGTGAAATCTATCTGGTCCAGTGTATCATTTAAAGCTCTCGTTTCTTTGGAGATGTTGTGTTTAGAAGACCTATCAAGGGTAGAGAGAGCTAGATTGAAGTCACCAAGTATAAGTGTATTATTATCTAAGTATTTCTTTACTTTGGTTAATAATTCGTTTAAGTATTTGGCAGCTCCCACATTCGGGGCATATATATTGAGGATTGTTAAGTCCTCTTGTTGGATAGATCCTTTAAGTATGATATAGTGTCCCTCTTCGTCTCTCACTACTGTCTTCGGAGTGAATTTTAGTTTATCTGATATAAGGATGGCTACCCCTGCTTTCTTTTGAGAACCATTTGAATGGTAAATGGTTCTCCAATCTTTTATTTTCAGGTTGTAGGTGTCCTTCTGTCTAAAATGAGTCTCTTGTAGACAGCAAATAGATGGGTCCTGCTTTTTTATCCAGTCTGAAACCCTGCGCCTTTTGATGGGGTCATTAAGCCCGTTCACGTTCAGAGTTACTATTGACAGATATGAGTTTAGTGTCATCATGATATCTATTTAGTCCTTGTTTTTGTGGATTGTTCCACTGAACTTCTTCTTAAAGGGGAATTTTAAGAGTCCCCCTTAAAATTTCTTGCAGAGCTGGTTTGGAGGTCACATATTCTTTCAGTTCCTGCCTGTCTTGGAAGCTCTTTATCTCTCCTTCCATTTTGAATGAGAGCCTTGCTGGATAAAGTATTCTTGGTTGCATGTTCTTCTCATTTAGGACCCTGAATATATCCTGCCAGCCCTTTCTGGCCTGCCACGTCTCTGTGGAGAGGTCTGCTGTTACCCTAATATTCCTCCCCATGAAAGTCAGGGACTTCTTGTCTCTTGCTGCTTTAAGGATCTTCTCTTTATCTTTGGAATTTGCAAGCTTCACTATTAAATGTCGAGGAGTTGAACGGTTTTTATTGATTTTAGGGGGGGATCTCTCTATTTCCTGGATCTGAATGCCTGTTTCCCTTCCCAGATTGGGAAAGTTTTCAGCTAGGATTTGTTCAAATACATATTCTGGCCCTCTGTCCCTTTCGGCGCCCTCGGGAACCCCAATTAAACGTAGGTTTTTCTTCCTTAGACTGTCATTTATTTGCCTTAATCTGTCTTCATGGTCCTTTAATTGTTTGTCTCTTTTTTCCTCAGTTTCCCTCTTTGCCATTAACTTGTCTTCTATGTCACTCACTCATTCTTCCACCTCGTTAACCCTCGTCGTTAGAACTTCTAGTTTGGATTGCATCTCATTCAGTTGATTTTTAATTTCTGCCTGATTGGATCTAAATTCTGCAGTCATGAAGTCTCGTGAGTCCTTAATGCTTTTTTCTAGAGCCACCAGTAGCTGTATAATAGTGCTTCTGAATTGGCTTTCTGACATTGAATTGTAATCCAGATTTTGTAGCTCTGTGGGAGAGAGGGCTGTTTCTGATTCTTTCTTTTGAGGTGAGGTTTTCCTTCTAGTCATTTTGCTCAGTGCGGAGTGGCCAAAAACAAGTTGTATTGGGAAAAGGAGAGAAAGAGAGAGAAGGAAAGAAAAGAGAAAAAGAAAAAAGAAAAAGAAAAGAAAAAGGAAAGAAGAGAAGAAAAAGGGAAAGAAAAAGAAAGAAAGGTGAAAAAAAAAGGGGGTGGGGGAAGCAATCAGAAATCAAAAAGAAAAGAAAAAAGAAAAGAAAAAAAAAACACGGGGGAGTATTTCTGTAGACTTTAAGTCCCTTGTCTTCCCCTGGAACTGGTCCGTCCAGCTGGTCTTCTGGGGGAGGGGCCTGCTGCGCTGATTTTCAGGTGTTAGCACTTGGGGGAGCTGCTCTGCCCCTGCCTCCTGCAGGGCTCAGCGGGGGTTGTTTACCCCTGTGAGGTCTCAGGAGGAACAGTTGCAGTTGCTATGGCAACTCTGGAAGCCTGGATTCAGCCTCCGCAGGAACTACGGGGCTCGGGGCTCTCGGTTCTCCGTCTGCAGGGCCTGGAGGCTCCGGGGCGGGGCCGCTGATCTGCTCAGTTCGGGGCAGGAGCGTCCTTGCTGTCTCGGGCCCTCCCGGCCTCTGCCTGTCCCGGGGGGAGGCCGGATCCTGGGCTGTGTCCCGGCGCCCTGTGCTCCGGGGCCTGCGCTGTGGGATTCGCGCTCCCGCCCCGCAGCTCCCTCCCTGGAGCCGCTGCCCGAGCCCCTCCGAGCTGCTCCGGTCGGTCCCGCAGTGCGCGCTGCAGCCCTTAGGGAGCTCGGAGCACTCTCCTGCGCTCGCAGGTGTCTGTTAGCGTCCCCGGGAGCCCGAGGGCATCCCCGCTCTCCTGGGTCCTGCTCCAACTCCCTGCGAGCCCCTTTCCGCCCGCCCGGGAAGGTTGGTGCAGCTCCTGCTCCTCCGGGACGGGGCTCTCCTGTCCTGGGGACACTCGCCCCGGCCTCAGCCCGGCTCCTCGCGGGGCCCCTCCCCCTCGGAGGCCTTTTGTTTCTTTGTTTCTTTTTCCCCGTCTTCCTACCTGGATAGAAGCGTGAACTCCTCTCACTGTAGCATTCCAGCTGGTCTCTCTTTAAATCTCAGGCCGAATTCGTAGATTTTCAGGATGGTTTGAAGGTTATCTAGGTAATTTGTTGGGGACAGGTGATTTGGGGACACTACTCTTCCGCCATCTTGCCCCTCCTCTCCCAGAAATTTATTTTCTTATAATTCTGAAAGCTACAAGCCTATGATCAAGTTGTTGGCAAGAGAATCCTTATTTATAGATCTCTTATAGCAGGATGTATCTATTTTGTCCAAGACTGCGTATGGTAAATAATCCCAGGATCTATGGATTTATGAGGCATGTCACCCTGGAAAATGCAACTATATGGACATAAAATTAAGATGCTTCATGATTTTTTTTATTATTTACTTATGATAGTCAGAGAGAGAGAGAGAGAGAGAGAGAGAGAGAGAGAGAGAGAGAGGCAGGCAGAGACACAGGCAGAGGGAGAAGCAGGCTCCATGCACCGGGAGCCCGATGTGGGATTCGATCCCGGGTCTCCAGGATCGCGCCCCGGGCCAAAGACAGGCGCTAAACCGCTGCGCCACCCAGGGATCCCCGATGGTTCATGATTAAATGACTTTTTTGTGTAAGTAATAAAGAAACCTCATGTTAATCTCAGCCAGAGTGGGTTCTGACATAGAAAGAAAATACCTGGGGATCTGTACTAGTGGTCTTAGAACTCTTGCAGCTTTCCCTCTGCCTCATGATCATTTATATATTTGAAACTATTAGTAAAGCTGGATAATGGCTAAGGTCACTGATTTGAAGGAATATGATTTAACAAACTAACACTTTGTGTTATCCTGCAAGGAAATTAAGGTTTACAGTGGTTAAATGACTTGCTGAAAGTCACATGCTACAAATGGCCAAACAAGTGTAGAAACGAAGTCTTAAATCAGACTCTTTGTACCATGTGACACATGATAATGTGATGGAAAAACAACAATGACAAAACCCGTGTTGGGGAATCAGAAGTAGATTTGCCTCGTGGTTCTAACACTGATCAGCTGTTTGATTTTGGGCAAAGTACTTGCAACATTCATTTATTTATTTTTTTAAGATTTATTTATTTATTCATTCAGAGAGAACAAGAGAGAGGCAGAGACACAGGCAGAGGGAGAAGTGGGCTCCATGCAGGGAGCCCAATGTGGGACTCGATCCCGGGTCTCCAGGTGGTGCTAAACCGCTGCGCCACCGGGGCTGCCCACTTGCAGCATTCAAAGTCTATTTCCTTACCTATGCACTATATCTTATATAAAATACACAAGATATCTAAATGATAAATACAACAGAAAAACAGATAAACATGACATAATACAACAGAATGTTTAGGAACATTTTTAAAGGATGGAGGGAAAGAAAAGCATTACTTACTTTTTTCTTGTAATGCCTGCAATTTATTCAGTTCTTCATTCTCTTCATCACTCTCTTCACTGCTTGTACTGCTCACATCCAAAACTATGTCCCTTTTGGGATCTACTCGGAGAAAGTTGCGGCATTCAAATGTCAGGTGACCAGCTAAGTAAAATAAACAAACAAAAATGTGAATGACAAAATAACACATACACTATATATTTTTATTTTGTTGCCTCAAGGTTAAGAAACCAGTTATACTTTTATTTTTATTTTATTTTTTTCCCAGTTACACTTTTAATGATTTAATGTTTAGTTCCAACTTTTATTATTCAGTGGATAGTACTTTGCTTTTCTTGAATGAACCATGCAGAGAGAGAACTTTTTCCTTTATTCATCAGGGCTTCTAATTTAATAAGCACTTTTTGGCTACATCATACTTCATGCATTTTCCCTTTCTATGTACTTACTTACAGAGTGACTATATAGCTTTCATCTAATTAAAAGTGTCATGATAATATAACTGTGCTTTAAAAAAAAAAGATTTATTCATTCACTTTAAAGAGAGAGAGAATAAGCATGGGAGGGGGAAAAAGAAAGAGAAACTTCAGCAGACTCTTTGCTGAGCATGGACTCTGATACAAGGCTTGATCTCAGGACCCTGAGATCATGACCTGAGCCAAAACCAAGAGTCAGAAGCTTAACTGACGACACCACCCAGGGGCTCCTGATGGCGTTCTTTTTTTTTTTAATTTTTTTTATTTTAAGATTTTATTTATTTATTCATGAGAGAGAGAGAGAGAGAGGCAGAGGCACAGGCAGAGGGAGAAGCAGGCTCCGTGCAGGGAGCCTGACGTGGGACTCGATCCCGGGACTCCAGGACAACGCCCTGAGCCAAAGGCAGGCGCTAAACCACTGAGCCACCCAGGGATTCCCTGATGGTGCTCTTCTAAAGATCACTTAAATAAAAATTTCATTCTGAAAAAAAAAAATTCATTCTGGCATCATTTGCCCCCTAAAGACTCTCCCAATAATAAAGCTATAATATTTACTTATTTATCACATGATACCATGTATTCAAAAATCAAATAGGACAAATACCAGCAAAGTACAGGAAATTATTATTATTATTATTTTTAAATGATGTTATTTTTTTAAGATTTTTATTTATTCATAAGAGGCACAAGGAGAGGAGGCAGGCAGAGGGGGGAAGCAGGCTCCCTGCAGGGACTTGATCCCAGGACCCTAGGATCACGACCTGAGCCAAAGGCGGAAGCTCAACCAGTGAGCCACCCAGGTGCCCCCAGTGCAGGAAATAATATAACCAATATCCAAGTGCCTATCACCCACATGTTAACATTTTGTCATATTCACTTACAGTGTTTAAGGTAAATGTTTGCATGCCTGTGCGTGCGTGTGCATACACACATACATACACACAGGTGGGACTTTGCACAATTCCTTGGAACCCTGTCTTAATCTCATTCTACTCCCTCTGTCTTCAGAAGTTGGTACACTGCAGTTGGTATTCATCCTTCCAAAACAGCATATTGGATTATTTTATAACATAAACTCAGTGATATTTACCTATCATTCTGCAACTAGTTTTTGCCTCTCAATATTATGTTTTGTATTCATATATGCATTCAAATACAAATTCACACTAACACACTCACAATGAAACAAAAAGTTACCTGAAGTATTACTACGCTTGATACTCAGAAACAAAAATAAAAAACAACAACAGTGCTGATGGTAACCACATAATTGATTTCACAACCCACTAATGATTCACTAACTTTGTTCTAGGGTTTATTTCTAGTTCTCTCTTTGAGTGTGAAATCCTTTGGAAGTTCTAAATTTATACAGTAACAACTCTAGTTAGAGTCCCAATCTTAACCTGGACCCTAAGCCTTGCTTTTATCCCCTGTACTCTGTCAACCCATATAAATACAAGTTCATGAATACTGGGTTCAGGAAATACCCTCAATTCTTACCTCTTTAAATTTCTGCTTTCCTTTGATTGTTGCCCTCTAATTCTTTCTTTCTAGAACACTATTGTATCTAAAATAATGTACTGTGCATTTTATACAAGTTTCTTAGTTGTTTACAAGAGGATCCAGTCTGCCATACTGCTGGAAACAAGTTTCCTCTGTTGTGATTTCTTTCCAAATGAGTCATTCAGAAGTATTCTTTTTATATGAAAACATATGCAGTTTTCAGATTATGCTACTTTCTGATCAGAAAGTAGGGTCTGAAGTTGGAAAAATCTCAAATACACAAATTAAGCTTATACCTAAAGGAACTGGAAAAAGAACAGCAAATAAAGTCTAAAACAAGCAGAAGAGAAATAGTAAAGATTACAGCAGAACTCAATGAAATACAGACCAGAAAGACTGTAGTACAGACCAATGAAACCAGGAGCTGGTTCTTTGAAAGAATTATTAGGATAGACCCCTAGCCAGACTTATTAAAAAGAAAAAAAGACTCAAAGTAATAAAATCATGAATGAAAGAGGAGAGATCACAACCAATACCAAGGAAATACAAATGATTTTAAAAATATGTTATGAGCAACTACATGCCAACATATTAGGCAGTCTGGAAGAAATGGATACATTCCTGGAAACCTACAAATTACCAAAACTGAAACAGGAAGAAATAGAAAACCTGAATAGGCCAATAACCAGCGAGGAAATTGAAGCAGTCATCAAAAACTTCCCAAGGCCAGATGGCTTCCCAGGGGAATTGTACCAGACATTTAAAGAAGAAATAATACCAATTTTACTAAAGCTTTTTCAAAGGATAGAAATAGAAGGAATACTTCCAAACTCATTCTATGAGGCATTACCTTGATCCCAAAACCAAAGACCCCACGAAAAGGAGAATTACAGACCAATAATCCCTGATGAACACGGATGCAAAAATTCTCACCAAGATACTAGCCAGCCAATAGGATCCAATGTACATTAAGAGGATTATTCACCAAGACCAAGTGGGGTTTATCCCTGGGATGCAAGTGTGGTTCAACATTCATAAAACAATCAACATGATAGGTCACATCAATAAAAGACAAGAACCATATATGATCCTCTCAAAAGATGCAGAGAAAGCATTTGACAATACACAGCATCCATTCCTGATTAAAACTCTTTAGAGTGTAGGGATAAAGGGAACATCTATCAATATCATAAAAAATCATCTATGAAAAGCCACAGTAAACATCATTCTCAATGGGGAAGCACTGGGAGCCTTTCCCCTAAGATCAGGAACACGACAGGCATGTCTACTCTCACCACTGCTATTCAACATAGTACTAGACGTCCTAGCCCCAACAATCAGACAACAAAAAGTTCATTTTTAAAAAATGAACTTCTGGAGAAAAAAAAGAAAGTGGGATCTGTATGAGATCAGTTATTTGGTATTTGCTGAGATTTCTTCTGTGGACTATCATGTAATAAATTTATGAAATGACTTGGTATGTATTTTAAAAACATATATATCACTCTGTTGAATAGAGTGCTATGTCTATTTTGTTGATCAAATCTTCATTTTTTTGTCTAATAACTTCTATAGTATAATTTTCAAGTACTTCTATCATTAAAAATTTGTCAATTTCTCCTTATAATACAGTTTTTGCTATAAATATTTGAAGATTATATTAGTAAGCACAATCAAGATCATTATCATTTTACCTTTTTCATTGATTGTTCTTGAATCTCTATTCCTTTTTTTTTTTTTTTAAGATTTTATTTATTTATTGAGAGAGAGAGCACAAGCATGGGGAGAGGCGGAGGGAGGGGAAAAGCAGACTCTCTGCTGAGCAGGGAGCCAGACATGAGGCTCAATCCCAGGACCCAGGGATCACGACTCAGGCAGACGCTCAACCAACTAAGCTACTCAGGCGCCCCTGAATCTCTCTCTATTCCTACACCGCTCTTACCTCAAAAGTCTGATACTGAAATTACTCTACTACGCTCTTTCTATTATTAATCATATTGAGTTGCCATTTTTGTGACAAAACTTCTATCAATATTTAACCTATCTCCTCCCCTGTCCCTTTATTTTGAAAATTTCTATGCAGCCTTTATGTTGTTTTATTAATAATGATATAACTGCACTTAAGCCTATCTAATTTGATAGACCAATTTTTTTCCAATTATTGAAATTCCAGTTAGTTAACATACATTGTGATATGTTTCAGGTGTAGAAGTTAATGATTCATCACTTAACATACTACACCCAGTGCTCATCACAACAGGAGCCCTCTTTAATCCCCTATTCCCCTTCCCACCTCCCTCATCAACCTTCAGTTTGTTCTCTATTGTTAAGAGTCTGTTTTGTGGTTTGCCTATTTTCTCCCGTGTTAATTTGTTTTGTTTCTTAAATTCCACATGAGTAAAATCATATGCAGACCAATTTTTTAAAGTATGTTCTCATGTCCAGTATGGAGTTTGAACTCACAACCCTGAGATCAAGAGTTGCACATTCTACTAACTGAGCCAGCTAGGTGCCCCAATACCAGATCTATTTTCAATGTTAATTTCTCAACTTGGAAAAATAGATCCTGCTTCATTGGTGGCAGTGTAAATTCACTCCTCATACATGCTATAAGCTGTTGCCAATTCTTGATTATTCCTTTTCTTCTAATTATTATCTTGTAGGAACTCATACAGTAAAGTTTCTCGCCATTTTCTCTAGACAGTGAGTGGGATTTTTCTAATCCCAGCTTCACAGCCTTTCAAACAGGGCTTTATGCAAGAGTCCCCACTCCAGCCAAGCTGCCATCCCACAGTAGTCTAAGGCTTCATTCTCTAGTCCATAAAAGTCTACCCAGTAGGCCTGTGGACCTCAATGTTTTCAGCTATCATTCCCTGTCTGGCTTTGAGCAACTTTTCATTTCCACCACTAGGGATTTCCTATTCATTCATTTGAGCTGGGTTATTTTTATTGTTGTTGTTACTCTGTTTTTCTCAGCATTTCTGTGTTCAAAGCACAAAGGAGGACTTTCTATCTTGGTTCAGCTTGCCATTTGGATCAGAACTCCTGATGATATAATTTTTCCTTTAACTTAAGCTAGCTTTGCACTCAAACACTTCATATTGCAATGAATATTTAAAGTAAATACTGAAATAATAACCACACTGGCAGCAAGCTCCATTTCAC